GAGCTTCACGCAGAGTATCGCTGTAGGAAATCTTGGTCAGCCGGGAGCGGGAGAGCCGCGAGAGGGAGGGTGCGAGGGTGCTCTGCCGAGCGCCGGGCAGGCTGAGCTGGTCCCGGGCTGGAGCATCGCAGTGGGACGAGGCAGAAGTTGCTGCACACGCTGAAAACAAGGAGCGAGAGTACTTGCTACCCTTGCCTGTGAAAGTCACGGGCGCTGTCACTCTGGGCCGAGACACGCAGAGCCAGAACCGAAAGCTGGCACTTTGCAACTCCACAGAAAGCCAGTGCATTCAGTTTCTCAGCTCTTTATCTCCTTATCTAAATATCTCTAGGCTCTTGGAGGTATTTTCCAGACAAACAATCGAGGCTAGTTCCAGTCCCACAGAGATTAGGTTAGGAAAGCTGTCTGCTTTTCGTCAAATTTCGTTGCGAGGACGTAGTCACTACTGTGCTTCAGTCTTTGGACTGTGGTTGAGCTGCACGTGCATGGATACCTTTGGGGCATCATCACTTCTGCACCTCACAGATAACAAGAAACTAATCCTTGTCTTTTGTGCTTGTTCTGCCAGGTGTCTGCAATGCTCTTTCACTGGAAATTAAAGCCAGTCCTAAAGTGAGAGCTTATATTGGTGAACAAGTAACGCTGAAATGCTCATTCAAATCCAGTTCTCCCATCACCGAGAGCCTGACGGTAGACTGGACATACCGGCCCCTCACAGGTGGTCAGATGGAGACGGTAGGTGGAATAGGGAGACTTTCTCTAGTGGAGACTGGCCAGGCCTTGGTGCATGCTGAATATGTGATGATATTTTTTCTGTTTGCCTTGTTATGGTGCTTCATCACTTTGGGGCTCTCATTGACACCTTCTGTCCCATGTGAAATTGCTGTAGTGTTCTTTGGGCAAAAATATTCTGTGTAAATACATAATAGAATAGTGATGTTAAAGTAGATAAACTTTTGGGTTTGACACAAGTGCTGCACTGTGTGCTGTAGCAATGTGTAGAGCGACTGTAAAGCACTGGACTGGTAGCTTTCTTGAAGGCGGCTGTACCCTAGCAGTTCTGTCGTGCGGTCCATGGCTGATGTATCTTGGAGTGGCAAGAATGTGTGCAATGACAGTCTGAAGACAGTGATGATGACAGCCCCTAAGGTTTATGCGCTGCTACTTGCTGGTTTGTGGGCAGCATTTTGAAATATAAGCATAAATACATAAGTCTGAAAACCCACTGAAAATCTCTCATTCAAGGTGGAAGCAGAAAATGCACATCTTTACCAATGATCAGTGACTTCTGCTGCCTGAGGAGTTTGAAATCTTAGGTGTGTCCTTGTAGCTGGAACAAAAGGGTGCTGCTTGTATGAAGTGAGGTCTGCTAAGTCTCTGCTTGCAGGACAGCAAGAGCAAAAGTGTAAGAAGCAGAAGCTGAAGAACAACAATGTTCTGTCTGGCACGAGAGAAGCAGCCTGCGCTGCTTCTCAACTAAAGAACTGCAGAAGGGAACATGTTGGTCAGAATGGTGATAGTGACATCTGAGAGCTGAGGCAGGTAGATGAAAGCACTGGAGATCTAATGAAGTGGGGCTGACTCAGAATTATTAAATAGGAACTTGAAAAGGTCTCCTATATAAGAAGTATTCTTTCTGACTTCTCAATGTGTATTCCTTTCTGTTTACAATCCAAAAAGGAGTTTACTTTGCTTTCTCAGACGTGTGTTTTATTGGCACAGTTGTTGTCTTTGCCTCCTTTTAGATTTTTCACTATCAGTCTGTTCCGTACCCAACAATGGTGGGAAAGTTCAAAGACAGGATATCCTGGATTGGGAATGTGGCCAAGGGTGATGCTTCCATTGCTATCCAAAGCCCAGTGATGAGCGATAATGGGACGTTCATCTGCAGCGTGAAGAATCCTCCCGACATGTACCATAACATTCCCCAGACACTGCTGATAGTTACGGAGAGGGGTAAGCCTCCGTTTCAATAGCATGTCCT